ATGTGTTTGCTTTCTTTATTTACATTTATAGTATCAGTTATTATTATTCCCTTAGGTTCCTAGTGGAACATAGGGCTTCAAAAACACATCTCCACTTTGTTCTATTTGTAGCTGTCCTCTTCAGCTGGCTAGCTCCACGATTGACCATAATATCTCATCTCCTCCTCCTCCTCGCCACACTATCTCCTCCATGTCACCCTCGCACAGACGACATACTTGTCGCTTCCCATTGGGATTCCACTCGAGCGATGGCCTACATTGAGCGCGATGTCATTCGACGGCCTCAATGTGTGCCCGATCAATCCATCTCCATTTTCTGCTACATATTTGTTGAGCGATGGCTCTTGGTTGGTTCGCTGCTAACCAGTCAGAGTTATTGGTTGTTAATTCTTTCTGGATGGCCAGCTGGCCATACGGTCTTCAGTATATAGCCAGCCATTGAAGTTGGCAGTTGTTGATAAGAGTCTGTTGTGGCCTGTTGGAAATGCTTTTCGTGACTTGTGCACAGTGAAAGTTTCTGATCCATATAGAAGAACTGACTGACTTGACATTTGTGTTGAACAGGATCCTAATCTTGTTGTTTATGCTGACTGGCTGAGTGAAAACAGAAGATTTGCAAACTTGTTTTAGGTTGGTGAAGGTGTATCTTGTCTTTCCAGTTCTGGCTGGCTGTCTGGCTTTGACATCTTCATCCGTGATGTCTGACTGTCTGTGGTTGAAAGCGTACTTCGTGGCCGGATAAGTGAAGGAAGTGACCACTTTGAAATCTCTTCCGTCGATGGTGATTAGTGCTGGTTGTTTCTGCTGTTGGTGCGTGGTTGGTTTTTTGGTTATCTTCATCACCTCCGTCTTCTCTATGTTCACCCGGAGTTCTGTCTTCTCTGCGAACCTCTTCAGCCAGTTTGTTGGTTTTCATCTGCCTGCAAGTCTTCGAGTTTGTGTGGCATTAGACATATATGGTCTGCGAAATCCTAATTTCTCTTGCCTGTTGATTATTTTGAACGTCTTCAGACTGTCCAATACTATCGAAATGATGCAGAGCAGTCGCACCTTTTAGTGTTTATGAGCTTTGTAGTCTCAGATTTGATAGTATGTGTTCAGAAATTCCGACGATGATCCCTCTCTTTGCTCCTCTAAAGCATGCGCTCTAACACATACATGTAAGCTTATGGATACAGTTGGAGGTAACATGAAATGGTGATTCGTCCGCTTTTCATTATCTTAAACTGCAGTTCGTTTTTGATATAAATCTATGAGCTGTTTGGAGCTTGATCTGCTCTTTTCAGGGCAGCTTTCAGTCTAAACCTTATTCTTTTTGCAATGTAATCACCCTTAAAGTGCGTCGGTGGCACAGTGGTTAGGACTCTCGCCGACCATGCACATGGTCTGAGATTCGATCCCCTGCCGACGCACACCTGATATCTATGGTCGGCCTGTAAATTTGGGCTACCGATATCCATGCTTAAAGTTCCATACTTGAACTGAAAATACGGTATGGCATCAAGCTGTAATCAAAGTTAAAAAAATTAAAAAAAAGATTTACAAAGATAGGCTTTTTTCCTTCACCGTGCTATTGAAAAATCAATCCTGCTGCATATGTTCTCGTTCCAAATTTATCTAATCCTGTATGTTTACGGAAAGGTGGATGTGAAGCAATAAGAAGCGCGATCATTGGACATCTGGTCGATAATGATCACTCAATGATCTCTACAGCCTCTGCCTTTAAATTCATCTACAAGGTGAAAAGTAATTTACCCAAATCACTACGTATCCGACTCATGTGTTGTATTGCTGAAGCCATCTTTGGCTATCGAAACAGAAAAGCCAGATCTCTGTTTACAGAAGAAGTTCAGTCAACCCCTCCAACTTTCATGGTCTTAATCCCTCTATGCTAAAGTATGGTAATCCCTAATCATATTTTGGCTCTACCAATTTTTTTGTTTATTCAATTTGTATACTCTTTCTTTATTACGTCAGTTGTTACTATTACTATTCTTACTTTGAACTGTCCCTATTATTATTTCACTCGTTCCACTTGTCATTCTAAATCAATTCGGTTTTGCAACGTTAAATTCTATGTTGTCAAATTTCACACATTGTTACGTAACGTAATTGCACACCCCTTCTAAGTTCTGTACATCCTATGAATTATTCTATATATGACATTAATTGGCTTTGCCACTTGACATTGAACTATGATTATAATCACAAACATTTTAGTTTTAATTGCATTTCATACTATTATTATTATTATTTTATGCGTTAACACCTATGATTCAATTCCCTCATCGGATATAACTTCTTAAAAACCATATATATATATATATACCATTGTACAGCTTGATAATAAATTTCGATAGAGAAAGAAAGACCAGATTTGCAATATAAAATGATATCATCATTCTATTTCACAGGTTCTCATCAGCTGCACATAACTACCTGAAATTACAATAGTCATGTATAGATGATAATAACATACTTTAATTTTTGTAAGTGGTAGTAGAGAAGAAAGAAATACTATCAAATTGACGCATCCAAAATGTAAGCAGCATTACAATTTTTTAGTTTAAGTTTTCATCATCAATTTATACGCTTTCAAAGTAGAAAAGAGGGGGGGGGGAGGGGTAAGACAGAAAACAGAAAAAATTAACAAAACAGTGTTAGCTGGTAGGTTCACACAGCAGCTCAAAAAACAAACGCGGTTACAGTTCATAAGATTAAGATTTGTTCAGTGATGAGTTGAGATCACTGAATTAGATGACTAATTATTAATGTAATCAAAATCAAAATTCAGTTATCAAGGGAGTAAGTGAGAGATTAATCACACTCTCTTTCTGTATGCATAATAAATTCGTTTAAAACAATTAGTTCCCTTTATGAATTTAGACAAAGCAATAAGAAGACGTAATGAAGAAAATAAAAGACAAATTCATCAGCGAAGAAAATTTTCTTTATCGACGAAATCATCTTCAGAGGCTGTACAATCGTATTTATACTTACAAAATTATATAGTGGTCTATTATTGAGTAATAAACTGGGGTGACATAATTGATATAATTACTCGGAAGTGGATTTAGAAGAGTCGTCTTTCAACATCATCTACAAAGTGAAGCCAAATGGTACAAAGGGAGTCAGGTTTCGGCATTTGTGTATGGTGGAGGCTCTGGCAATTCGTCAATACAACCCTGAACTCTGTATACAGAAAACGTATATGCAGTCTCTTAATCTATTTTGGTCTTAACCTCTTTACTAGTCGTTCCCTGTAAAAAAATTTTAATTATTTCTTTTCCTTTTCAGTTTTACTCTTAGTTTGCTTTTACTTTAATAATTAATTCACTATTATCACTCTCATATGTTCCTTTTGTACATTTTCCCACCCTCTTCACACTTGTTAAATTGACACTCAAATACCTTTATTCTCACTTAATAGCAGTTTTAACCTTATCAAATTTCTAACTCTGTGCCATTGAGTACCACGTAATTTACAACTTTTTAATTTTTTACTTCTAAAGCCACTGTTGAGTAATTATATCAATTATTTTACCCCAGTTGTATTACTCAATAATAGACTACTATATATTTTTGTAAGTATAAATACGACTTTACAGCCAGCCTCTGTAGATGATTTCGTCGATAAAGAAGATTTTCTTCGCTGAATCTGTTCTTTTATTTTCTTCAAGAAGACGTAATTGGTCTGAATGGTGTAATGTGCATATTTGCACAACACAAATTTTGAACAATCTGATCGCACTCCACGTACTTGTCATAGGAATGAATATATACATGAAAATAAAAAAGAGTCAAGAGGTGAGAATATAGACAAGTTAGGTCAAATTAACAGGAGGACATATTGAAGGTCAAAATAACAATGAAGACCACTAAAACAAATAACAGAGGTAATAGTACATCTGCTATGGTATCAAAACAAAATTTACCAAGGAAGGTTTAATGTGATGACGAATTGTTTTTGAACGCATAAAGGTGGCTTAAACTTTCTAATTGCCTGCTAGGGCTTCCACAAACTTTAGGATACGCCCCAAGCATGTTTTATAGATAGGTTTAAAAGATCTGTTAACGTCAATTTTATGTCCTGTCCCATCTATAATATGTTTCGCAATAGAGGATCTAGGTTTCCTGTTCTCACCATTATTGGTTTCTGAAGACTCCACTTGTTTTTGGAGCCATTTAGGAATATGCTCTGCAAATAAGGGCTTCAGAGCATATTTCTAAATGGCTCCAGAAACAACCACCTTTATGCGTTCAAAGCAACAATTCGTCATCACATTAAACCTTCCTTGGTAAATTTTGTTTTGATACCAGCCAGGGCAGATGTACTATTGTGGTGAGAGATGGTTGCTAGCCAAATTGTTTGACAGTAATTGAGGTCAACGGTAGTCATGTGAAAACAAGGTCAAGATGGAGAGGCGGATACAGTTAACATATAGATGAACTGACACAGCCACAAGAGATGCAAGGTTAACTTTGTGTGAGAAACAACCAATCAACTGACTGTATTTTCTACTAACATTAACCTACAATAATGTACATCATAATCTATAAATATGTGTTGTTACACTATTTCCTCTGTTATTTGGTTTAGTGATCTTCATTGTTATTTTGACCTTCACTATGTGCTTTTAACTTGACCTAACTTGTCTGTTTTCTCATCTCTTAACTCTATTTATTTCATATATATGTATTCCTATGACAAGTTCGTGTGTGATCAGATTGCTCGAAATGTGTTGCGCAAATACACATTACACACACGATTCAGACAAATTACGTCTTTTTATTGCTTTATCTAAATAAATTCGTTGTTGAAAAGAGTCTTTTCACTGAATCACTTGTTTTGATTTTCTATAATGTTACAATGGGAATTTTCCTTGAATTATCTTTTGTTGTGAATTGGTTAGGTCATATAATTTCATGAAATATGTATATACATATATATATATATCACCTTTCATCTTCTTTCTTCCCTTCTACTACATATATTTCAGGTTCTAGCCACTGGTTTAAGTGGTCTTTATTCTAGTTTACCAAAAAAACTGGTACCACGTTATTCAATGAATTCACAAAGTAATTATGACTATAATAATAACAATAATAGTACAAATTACGCTTACAATAACAATGGTACTGTCTTTGAATCTCCTGGTGGTCCTGTTTCTGTCACTACACCAGTTTTTATCCAATCAGATTTACGATATCCGTGTCTTTTAGAATTACAAGTTGGCGGTGCTGAATGGCATCAGTTGACAGAGAAGGAGAGTAATCATTCAATCGACCTGAGACGGTTTTTGCATACGCTGGATTTTTGTAATCTTACAGTTAAAGTAAGTGAGTAAGCTAGCTAGCTAGTTTGTTTGTCTCATAGTCGTTGTTGTTGTTGTCGTGATGTTTTTTCTCTCTTTGTGCCTTAGTTGTTACTATGTTGTCTCTCACTATCCAGTATAATAAAACATACTTGGTTTTTCAAGTTACCGTAGTTTCTAAACTGGTTAGTTTATTTGCGAAGCTTTCATTGTTTTTCTTCATGGTATGGTAAGGTTTTTTAAAATTCTCTATCAATGCGTACTGATGAAGAGTCCCAAACTAGGACGAAACAACTGTCCAGTACTCCCAGGTTTTCCAATGGTTCTCTAACTAATATCACCTCATGATGATATCCTGTAACCAATCAATCAAATCCCTACAAACCAACACTTGAAAGTCACTTTTTCTGCGTTCTGTGACTATGATTACTTACCGCTGAAGAATTAGCAAATCCCTTGGGTTCACTATGTACTGGCGTTGGTTGGTTGGTTGTCTTCTCGACTTGTTACCTGACTTTACAATCACGTGATTTGTCTTGAATTAATCAATGAACCTGATCTACATCAATCTGTCTGTCTATCTGTTAGGTGTAACGTAGTTCGAGAACCACCAACCTTTGGGGTCTTCACTGTCCGACAGATCCTAGAACATAGACACACTTTTCGGCGTCAAACAATTGCCATATTTCTTGACTTGAAGGCGGCCTTCGACTCCGTCAATCGGAAGGTACTATGGCAATGTTTGACTGTGAAGCGAGTGCCAAGAAAGTAAGTACATTGCACTAATCAAGTCACTCTACTCAAACTCACGTAGCTGTGTAAGGGCTTATGGAGAATTGTCATCTGAATTGTTAACAACCAGTGGTGTCCGTCAAGGATGTCCACTTTCCCCATTTCCGTTTAACTTCATCATAGATATGCTAATGGAAGTATCCTTAACTGAACTTAAAGATTTAGGAATCGACTTGTTACCAGGGAATAGTCTTATGGACTTAGAATACGCAGACGACATAGTCCTGTTAGGGGAGGATGCTGACAAAATGCAGAGTCTTCTGAACACCTTGAGGAGCAACAGTCTTCGTATGTTTGGCATGCGATTCGCCCCTGTGAAATGTAAGATGCTGCTACAGGACTGGACTACGTGATAGGGAGTGAAGTGATATAACATGTTGACCACTTCACCTATTTGGGAAGTTGTATCAGCACCAACGGACAGATTGGCCACGAAATCTCAGCACGGATCCAGAAAGCTCGGGCTGCTTTCGCTAACTTACACCATCTCTGTCGTGGGCGTGACATCCAGCTATCAACCAAGGGACGTGTGTACTGCTCAGCAGTTCTCTCCGTCCATCTCTATGGCTCTGAAACATGGCCAATACGAGTCGAAGATATGAAAAGGTTGACTGTTTTTGATCATAGATGTCTACGATCTCTTTCTCACCTTAAATGGTATAATAAGGTAAGTAATGTTGACGTTAGGCATAGAGTGTTGGGCACAGAGGGAAAATCAATCGAAGAGGCTATAAAGTTACATAGATTAAGATGGCTAGGTCACGTTCTGCGCATGCCTAACCATCGCCTCCCTAGACGTCTAGATTTAACAAAAATGTATGCATTTAATATTATGCAGAAATTAATTTCTCATGCTGGTGATTAATTCAACATTTAACAACTTAAATTATCTGGCGAATTATTTCTTTAAAATAAACAAAATAATATGTCTGTCTATGTGTTTTCGACATGGAACTTTGCACATATGTGCGGCAGTTCAAGTCGCCACACAAAGCAAGAGAAGAAAGTAGGAGAAATGAATATTAGACACAGTAAACAGAGGTATGAGACAAAGGAATAGTAATAACGAAGAACAAAACAGTTTCATTGGAAATCATAAGTCACAAGGAGTGGATGCATCTGCGCCTGCCATTGACAACGACGATTTTGAGCCATGTCACCAATTGTTTCCAACCATTGGCTCTTACCGTCCCGAGGACCCCAACCAGGAAGTCTACACCTTCCTACGTCGCTTAGACTAACTGTTGTAGATTTCATTGACTGGTGCCATGTTTTCGTTTGACCACCGTTAGCTCTTTTCCAGCCTGGCCCTATATCAGCTAACATTGCCCACTGTCGAGGACCAGGCATTCGTAACACATGTCCTAACCATCTCAGTCGATGTAATTTCACAGTCTCGTCGACTGATTTCCCCTCCTTACCTAGCACTGGACGCCTAACCTCAATATTGCTCACCTTATTATACCACTTCACGCAGGAGATAGAACGCAGACAGCTATGATCAAAGACAGCTAACCGGCCTTTTCATGTCTTCCAGTCTCAATGGCCAGGTCTCACGGCCAGCTATAAAGGAGGACGGAGCGGACTGATGAGCAGTACACACGCCCTTTGGTCGATAGCCAGTCGGATATCACGTCTACGCCAGAGACGGCGTAAACTGGCATATGCGAAACTAGCCCTCTGTATCCGTGGTGGGATTTCGTCAGAGATCAAAAGATAATATGTGCGTCGGTGGCATAGCGGTTAGGACATTCGCCGACTATGCACATGGTCCGGGATTCGATCCCCGGTCGACGCACACCTGATATCAATGGTCGGCCTGCTACATTTGGGCTACCGATATCACATGCTGAAAATTCCATACTTGTATCAAAAATACTGTGTGGAATCAAGCTACAATAAAGTCATAGTTAAGTTCTTTATCCTTCTGACTCCACTCAATCAATTGGGCATTTGAGATCTGTCTCACTTACTGTCAGTAATAGTTTCTAAGAGTTTTTTTTCTTGCATGGGGTTTGATTGATAGGACTCAGCATGAAATAGTATATCATCATCCTTTCTCACGAATCGTGTGATTTATCTTGTGATGGAGTTACTGTGTTGATCTATCATTTCTGACGCATGTTGTGATTTAGTGTGTGTGTGAGATCAATTCATCGCAACCACCCAATGAAAGAAACAACAGAACAGATTGAAAAACAACTCACCGATGTCCTTAAGAGAATGCAAACCGTAAAGTTGATCAGTCATGAAGTCTATGATCAGATCCGACCGACAGGATCAATAATACCAAAACTGTATGGCTTACCAATGATACATAAAGCCCACCTCCCACTTCGTCCAATTCTCGATATGTCAGGTTCCCCGTACCATCCAATAGCGAAATGGCTAGCTGAAATTTTAGAACCTGTACGAAAACGAATGTGCCACTATTCACTTCGTTACACTTTCCAATTCATCGATCACATCAAAGATATCAATGTAAAGAACAAAAATATGCTCTCCCTCGACATTGAGTCACTATTTACCAACGTTCCACTCACAGAAACTGTCTGTCACATTTGTCAATACATAGACGAAAATCAGCTGAACATCGGATTACCGACGACTTGTTTAAAAGAACTACTGCTGAGATGTACACTCAATGTACAATTCACATTCAACGAGGTTATTTACAGACAACAAAATGGGATCGCAATAGGATCTCCACTGAGCCCATTACTAGTAGACTGCTTCATGGGAAGCATCGAGAACGGTCCACTCAAATCAACTATTGACAATTTCCAACTGTATGTTAGATATGTGGACGACATCTTTATTATCTGTGATGACGGTCACGATCTCAATCAGTTACTGCAAATATTCAACAAATGCCATCCAGCCACAAAGTTCACTCTTGAAATTGAAAACGAATCTAAAATCCCTTTTCTTGATGTTGAACTTACAAGGAGAGCTGACGGAACTTTAGAAACGTCCATCCATAGGAAACCCACATGGAACGGCCAACTGACAAGCTTCTACAGCTGGGTACCAATCAGTCGGAAAAGAAACCTAATTAGATCTCTTGCCACTCGCGTTCGACGTATCTGTAGCTCTGATACCATGGAAGAAGAACTAAACTTCCTGAAAGAAACCTTCATACAAAACGGTTACCCATCAAGATTCGTAGACAAAAACATCAAACAAAAAATCCAAAAGCAAAAGACAGCATCCGTGCCAAAAAAGATACCTTATATTTAAATTTCGACTTCAAAGGAGACCTACTTAGAAGGAGAATCTCTTTAAGGAGAACTTTCCTTGCGGAAACATTGAGAGTAGTGTTCTCTAGTCGCCCGCTGATTTGCAGAAGCCCAAAGGACAAGATCCTGCACCTGACCACTTCTATGTGTATATATCAGTTCACCTGTTGCTGTGGAGCCGGATACATCGGTCGTTCGACGCGCATCCTGTCAAAACAGGTCAAAGAACACTATCCAGCGTGGCTGCAGAAAGGAAGTAGTGGCCGTATAAGGAGTGCAATAATCGAACATCTCGTCACTAGTGGTCATTCCATCTCAAAAAACACCTCATCCTTCAAAGTAATCTACAAAGTGAAGAACAACCTACCAGCGACAGTACGTTTCCGTCTTCTTTGCATTGCAAAAGCCCTAGCCATTCAGTTGGAAGAAGCAGAACTATGCATACAAAAGAAAATTATTCAACCACTTCTACTATCATGGTAACAACTCTGTTGATTTGACTTAACTTTTGCTTGTATGCTTATTTTTCTAACTACTTAAAACTCTTGTGTAATTCCGTATGTTATTTTGTTTCTATGTACACCCTGAGCACAACTCTTTCATCAAACTATTCACGTTATTACGTAACTCTTCTTTGACAATCGTTTGTGACAACTCATTACTTTTGTTACTACCCTCTTATATCAACATCCAATTCATCTGAACGCCTTTTGTACTACGTAATTCCACCAAAAACTTACTAATTGTATTTTCGTTTGGCAAATTTAATGTACACACACACATACAAAACAACCATATATATTTGCGATTGTACAGCTATGAAAATGAATTCGCCGCCGAAAAGAGACTCTTCACTGAACTACTGGTCTTCTGTCTATAAATATATAAATATGATGTAGATATACAATACAGTATCTTACAGTCACAGACCAACCCTTGTCTTTTGATATTTGCGTGGCTCAGTGAATCGGAAGGTACAACGGACAAATTGACATATTAGCGTACCAGTCGAGTTCATTACCGTTATAGTAATTAACAGGCGCAGACATAACAAAGTAGCAACGGAATTTATTCAATTCAATTTCAGTTATAACATTGAATTTGTTCCAAGTTTGATCGTGGATCGATATCAGTTGGAGAACCATTGAAAACCAACCAGGGAGTACTGGTTTGGGACTCATCTGCAGTCCGCATCCACCACAGGGGGCCCGAATCCAGGACCTTCTGGTTACAAGGAAAGCTGCTAGACTATTCAGCCACTGGAATCCGACTCAATGGCATATGAATTCTAACTTCTACCAGTTCAGTATTTTGGTGCAACCACCAGTCGCTGTCATTACTGGCGAGTATCTGTCCTCACTCCCTACCGGGTGGACCCTACTGGTGATAACTTCTCATTAGAACTCCAGGCAACTTCATCCTGTAACCAGCGAGCATCAGATTACTTTTTAAGAATTAGTTTGTAGGGGCCGCTGAATCGGGTCCGAGTGGTTGAATGGTCTACGAGCTTGCTTGCATGTAACCGGGAGGTCCCGGGTTAGAACCCCCTCTGTGATGGATGCGTACTACCGATGAGTCCCAAACTAGGTTGACGAAACAGCCGTCCAGTACTCCCTGCTGGTTTTCAAGTGTTCTCTAACTGACATCAATTCGTCGTCTAACCTGAAACATTCCTTTACCAATTGTCTCGTCTTCCACGGTTACAGAATTGCTTTACTTCTGTGCAAAGTTCTGTGTTGAAGCTTAGTTAGTCAATCAGGCATAGCTCATAGCCAACCTGATACATGTAAAGTCTACTCTGGTCAACTGACTTCCAACTAATTCCAATCAATAGGTGTGGCTCAGCTTCAAGACCTACAAAGTCATGTTCTCCACTCTCTCTGTATATATTTTTGGTGTTTTTACTGAAGTAGAATTGATGACTGACACTGTCAGCCATGCACAAGTTTTAACTTGATGATAACACACAGTTATGAAATCGATATAAATCTCACTATTTTTTGTTGTTGTATATGGATGTTTTATTTAAGTAGATAAGTAGTAGTGCATGTTACTTTTAAGGCGTTTATTACTTACTGATATCAATCTGCTTATGAAGTGCCTACCAAACAATTATGCCTCAGAAAATAATCAGTAAAATTACGTAATAATAAACTGTTTCATAAGTGTAATAAGAAAGGGATGACAAGAAGTGGCAAGTCGAGAAACTGGGTTTAATTATTTAGATTTTCCCTAGACAATGGAGGGATAATAACCGTAGGAATTGTCAATAAATAATCCCTTGAATTTTGAGTGGAACATTGGGCTTTCTTCAAGCGGCCTACCGTCGTATAACTCTCTTGTCTGCAGTCTTTTTGTTAGCTGGCTCCATGATTACCCATAAACTTTCATCTCCTCTTGACACGATCTCCTCCAAGTCACTCTGCGATGCCCAGCTGGTTATAAGCCAGTGGGGTTCCAGGGAAGGGCTTCCTTGTCGCGAGTTGTCGCTTAGCGGGTCTCCATCAACGTATATCCAATGCATTTCCACTTCCTTATGCATATTTGTTAGATGTGAGGTTCTTGGTTGATTCGCTGCCAGAGTAGACAGATACAAAGACCATGAGAAAAATTCCAAGATGGTTAATAGAAAGTTGTAGGACAGTTTGTGGTGGATACAGTCGGGATCTTTATCAGGTAGGTCAGTTATTACCTGCAGACTATGCATACATATAAGTTGTACAGATGATAATTGTCAGAAAGTATGAAAAATAAATTGGTCAACATTATCGTCCCGAATTTCTACAAATATATAGCACTGTGACTGCCTGACTGACTGACCGATTTCAACGTAGAACTTCTCACTGATGTACAACAGTTCTAGTTGCCACACTCCCTTCATGTACCACACAAAGGAAGAAAAGAGATTAAAGACGTACTCAAAAGATAGATGATAAACACAAGTGTGAGTGACGGAAAAACAATAGTAATATTGAAGAACAATAGAGTACTTTGATTGGATATGACTGGCAAATCGCAAAGAGTGAAGACATCTGCTCCAGCCATTGACAACGACGATTTTGAGCCATATAACCAATTGTCTCCAGGAATCATCGGTTTTTATCATCCCGAGGACCGACTAATTTTCCCTCCTTACCTGGCCTACTACTCGACGCCTGACTTCAATATTGCTCACCTTATTATACCACTTAACACGGGAGATGGGACGCAGGCACCTGTGAACAAAAACAGCTAGCCAGGCTTCGCACTCTCAATGGCGACGTCTCACTCACAGACAGCCATAACGGAGGACAGAAAGAACTGCTGAGCAGTACACACGCCCTTTGGTCGATAGCCAGCCGGATGATATCGCGTCTACTATGCCAAATATGGCGTAGTTTGGCAGACATACGCGAAACGATCCTTCTCTATCCGTGCTGAGATTTCATCAGCTATCAACTGGCTGATGCAACTTCCCAAATAAATGAAGTGGTCAATGCGCTCTACCGACCACTTTACTCCCTATTTCTAAGCTAGGAGTCAGTATAGTCCAGTCCATTGGTGTAGCATCATCTTACATTTGACGGGATCGTGCAAATCGCATGCCAAACATTCGAAGATTGCTGCTTAGCTCAAGGTGTTCAGAAGACTCTGCTGTATTTCATCAGCACCTTCACCTAGGAGGGAGTACTATATCATGTGCATATTCTAAGTCACCAAGGTTTTTGACTAGTAACAAGTGAATCCCTGAGTCAGTGAAGTCTGTTAGGGTTAAGTTCATTAGTACGCCTATGATGAAAATGAAAGAGAAATGGGGATAGTGGGCATCCTGACGGATACCACTAGTTGTCATCACTTTAGACGACAACTCTACGTAGCCTCTCACTTGGCTGGCTGCAGTTTACAGGAACTAGTTTTTAATTGTTGACAAAATTTTATCGATCAGCAGTGGTGAATACGCAGTTGAATCGGTTACTATTCAACAATTTTCTCTTATCGTGAATTATTCATGCTTTAAATGACTTTTGCTATTAAAGTCTACTACTTTGACAGTTGAATGGTGAGCCTGCAAATCTTAGATGTGTTACAAATTTCGAATGCATCATGCCGATTATTGTGAACTGGTTTAATATTCGACTGTTAGCTTCAAGAGATACGCTGCGCAAAATCTCTTAGCTTGTGTGAGGGCTGGGATACTGTCCGGATGTTCAATACAAAGAGATTACTCCTTGAGCTGTTGACTTGAAATTTCACCTACAAGACAGTGGAGCGGCGTGAGGAGCCACGTTCTCATGGTTTCTGGTGACCAAATTAGGCCTAAAGGTCTTTCGATCTGTTCGGATTATGGAACCCCATATACACCGTAGGTTTGGAATCAATGACTCCCACCTCCACATAGGTAGACCTACATGGTTCACCATCCCAGTTGTAAGTGCCAGTTGTTCGCATTCACCCTTTCACTTTTATGAGGAACATTCCCGCCTTGTAAAGGCAGTGAATAAAACTTACTTGGCAGACGTTATGAACGCGTGGCAACATGGGGGCATTTCAAGAGGAAGGCGAAAATTTATCCAACCTCGACCGTACTGAGTCGTTTATAGCGGCGTTGACTTGTCGGAATTTGTCGCACCTCTGTGTAACTTTAGTTGCGAACCGACACTAATTGAAGAACCATTTGAAATCAGGCGACAATGAACATGTCATAGTTTAGGACACTTTAGTAGTGTACACTTATAGTCACACCAGATTATTGAAAATAAGATCTTTATGTTCTGAGACAATTTCATTGATCATTCAATCACTGATTCGGAAGCTAATCGCCATTTCTTAAATGGTAATGTACTACTCACGTCGTAATCTGTAAATGACAGGTGTGTGCTGATGAAGAGTTCTAAACTTGGACAAATGCAGCCGTTCAGTGTCCCCTGGTATTTTGGTTTCAATGGTTCTTTCACACTGATAAGTTGGTCAGTGACCAAAATCTAAAAAGTCGTTCACATCACGTGAGTATCGTATAATGTCGATTCTTTTAATTCTACTTTACTTTAGAATTACTTTTATTTCTCTCTTCTAGATTGCACATCCGCATGTTCGTGATCAATTATTGCATTTTATTCATTCTGGATTCTTGATTCCAGTTTTAGGATCTGCATTACATCAAGTGAGTGTATGGGGGTGGGGGTGTGTTTTGCGCCCTTTTCCGTTGTTGTTGTTGTCGTTGTAGCGTTTTTTATGTAATGTAAAAAGAAACTTTTGTACAAGTTAAATAACACCATTCTACGTTTCACAGTTAACTGGATTAGTGAATATCTTCGCCGTATAATGTATAATATCATATAATTAGAAGTGAATTGTTGGATGGTGACTAGCAGTGGAATCCAGGATGTGCATTTCGATGGGAAAATCTAAAATTGAATTAAATAATTAATATTAGCTGTTGCACAAGAGGTGGTTCTCGTCGCCGAAGTGGTCTAGTGGATAACGCTTTGTCTGGCATTTCAATCTATCTATCTGTCTGTCTGTCTGGATTCAACATAGAACTTGGCACCGAAGTGCAGCACTTCGAGTTGCCACCTTCCAAATAGCACACAAGAAAATGAGTGAAGAGAATCAGTAGAGTTTTGACAAGTATAAGAGTGAAACAGAATGAGTAATGGTAGGAAGGAATATGAAAGATTACAGAGACTGAATACATCTGCGTAAGCCATTGACAACGATTTTGAGCCGTGTCACCTATTGTCTCCAGCCTTCATTGATTCTTAGAGTCTCGAGGGCGGGCCCCAACCCGGAAGTCTGCATCTCCCTACCTACCTGACTCAGTTTTACTGTCAGGGATTTCATGGATTGATGAGGCCATGTTTTGTTTGGCCACCACTTACTCTTTTCCAACCTGCACCTATATCAGCTAGTAATGCCCGTCCGTCGGGGGAGGCGATGGTTAGGCATGCGCAGCACGTGACCTAGCCACCTCAATCTATATAACTTTATAGCCTCGTCGATTGATATTCCCTCTTTGCCCAATACTCTACGACCAACGTCACCATTACTTACCTTAATATATCACCTAACGTGAGAAAGAGATCGTAGACATCTATGATCAAAAACAGTCAACCTTTTCATGTCTTCAACTCGTTTGAAACTATGGCCACTGTGTTCGATCCTCGGTGGGAAAATCATCACTCACTGTGGAATGCAGGTACATCCAGCTAACAACTAGTCCCAAATAGGATCAAATGCGCATCCTGGATTCCACTGCTAGTCACCACCCACAGCAACTGACTTCAAGTTACATGACCAGAAATCGTCGTCGAAGCATCCACGCACAAGGACCCGACATGTCAACCTGAGACAGAGGAGCACTTCGGGGTCCAATCAATCGACGGGAAAATCCAAAATCGAATTAAATAAATATGATATGATGTATATAATTTCATCTTGATGTGGTTGAGTTCTGTCTAAACTGAGTGTTGGTTTATAATTGCTAAGCTTCCATTGTCTGCGTAGGCAACATACTCAGCGGAAACTCTGGCATGAATTGAATTTATTTGAATTCCCCATGAATGATATTCATTGATTGTCTCTGTCGACGACCTTTGTCATCATCAGTCGTTAATTTGTTTTTGGTACTGTTCGCTTTCTGATGACACTTAGAATTTAACTTTTTTTTGGTCTTATGGCTTATTTAGTCTGTGATATTGTTTCTTTTATTATTTCACCAAAATAGTACTGGTCAAATGTTTAAGTGACTAAGTAGTACCAAGGAAAATCTAAGACAGGAAGTGAGGTGTATGATAGAAGCTTTGAAACGTAATAATTACCCTGATAAATTAATCAGGAAGTATGTAGGAAAATGTAAAAATAAAATAAATAATAATAGTCGTGATATAGATAATGTGATATCCAATTTGTCCAGTCTCTTATTCTACCTTGCTCTTAACCTCTTCACCAGTCGTTCCCTGTAAGAAAAGTTTTGATTTTTATCTTTTCCTTTTTTAATTTTCAATTTTATTTTCAGTTTGCTATTGCTTTAATAATTAATTCACTGTTATCAATCTCATATGTTCACTGTTGTACATTTTCACACCCTCTTTACACTTGTTAAGTGGACACTCAAATACTGCCTTTATTCTCACTCAATAGCAATTTTAATCTTTTCAAATTTCTAACTCTTTCTTCCTGTGTGTCGTTAAGTACCACGTGATTTACAAATTTTATTTTTTTTTACTGTTAAAGCCACTTCTGAGGGATTCTATCAATTATGTCACCCCACTCGTGCTATTACTCAATAATAGACTACTGTACATTTTTGGTAAATATAAATATGACTGTACAGCCAGCCTGTGAAGATGATTTCGTCGATAAAGAAAATTTTCTTCGCTGATGAATTTGTCTTTTATTTTCTTAATAGTGATAATAATAACATTAATGACGACAAGATTGTTAAACATGCACAGGATAATGACAACACCAACAATAAGGAATTTAAATCATCAGTAGTAATTTCATACAAAGAAGGAACCTCGGAAACCACCTTACGCAGAATTTTTAACAATGCTGGCAGGAATAAAGGTGGCTGGCATACAAACCACCCACAAACTCAATTAGAAACAAGTTCTGTTGGTTAAAGGATCCTGTGGAGCCTTTTAAATAAAACAACTTAGTTTATCTAATACCCTACCTGCTATGATTGTCAGGTCAAATATATAAGTCAAAGTAGTAGAACAGGGTCAGTCAGACTAGTGGAGCATAAAAACCTAGCAAAATCTAGATTAGTTGACCCGAATAAGATAAGAAATCTAGAGAATAGTTCAGCTATAGCACTACATGCAGTTACACACAACCACACAATAGGATGATGGGATAGGATGACAGTTTTAAAATCTAATGTCACAGGGTATAGGGAGAGATTGATAACAGAAGTTTTGTTTATCAAATCAACTGCAAATACGTGCCTGCAATAGGAATGATTCAACAGCTGTCCATCCATCTGGACATCTGGAGAATTCTACTACCCGTACGACAAATAGGGAAGAATAAAGAAAACTATAAAACTCAAGTTTCAAAGTATGATTATGAACAGTGATGAATTGTGTTTGAAACTTTGTTATCCAGTAAGTAGGAATACTGTTTCACACTGTGTGTGATATATTTAATTAACAAACTAATATGGAAAGAAACACCGCTCAATGTTCACTAACATTGACAGTAGTCTTCTTATAACAGGGGGAATCGACTACAGACCAAATGCTTTAATGGAATAATCTTTGTTTTTTAGAATGATAAGAGTTTGTTTCTTCAGGATGACGATTGTTTCTACACAATAGTGTAGATCTGTGCTTCATCGTGGATAGAATTTTATTCTGATAAAATCACACAGTGTTGTACAGTAATATTTGCTGATGACCACGTTTCGAGTACAAATTATTACTGCTCATAATCATATCAAGGTACTAGTCACGTAACTTTCTTGCTTCATTTATATATGTTGTGTGAGTAACTTGATATGATTATGAGCAATAGTTGGTGCTCGAAACGTCATCACTTAATATTACTGTATAACAACACTGTGTGATTTATCAAAATAAAATCTTACCCATAATTTTAACATTATTTATTATCCTCCTCTGATTTGACTGAGTGGTGGTAATATTATGTTCCATACATATCTCTGGTATTTGCATTGAGTCACATCTACATCAATCACTACTGGTTGATGATATGATATGGTTGGTATACAACTACTTATCTCGATCAGTCAGTAGTATATCGAGAAGAGAGATCTAATTTCAACGGTAAACTTTTGGAGTATAAGAGAAGAAACCATACACACGATAGCACAATAACAACTTTGTACTTGGCTATGTCATCCTTTCTCATGTATTCTCTTTCGTTTTTCGTTCTTTTTTTTAAATATCTACTTAATGATTAAGTGAATTTATTTTGTGCTTTGTGTTTTTGCTTTGAATTTTTCAGAGTGCTATGGATGAAGTGATCGCTGCTACTGCCTACTTGGAATTATTTTTACGTCGTTTAACTGAACCCCTATTGATTAGGCTATTTCTCAAGTTTATTATTATCGAATCATATGACACCTATCATATACTCACTTCAATTATGAATCGATTGAATGCTAATGCTGTGGTAAGTGAGTGAGTGAGTGAGTGTGTTAATATATTTATATGTCGTGTACACCTCCTCCATCCCTCTTTCTCGCTGTGTGTGATAGGCGCCTGCATGGAGTGTATCTTTTATATATGATAGAATTTAATTTGATGTGTGTGTGGTTCCCCCTGTTTGGTTTATTTTCTAAAACCAATTCGGTAATTACGTGCTCTTGTGGATTAACTGTCAGTTCTGTTTGAGTGTTTTATTAACTAAAAGAACCAGCAACACAAGAGCCTACATCCCATGCTGTTTATTATTCACAATGAGTTAATAAAAGAATGACTTGATTGCCATATTAATAAAAATAATAATAATAATAATAATAGCAGTAGGACATCTTCACTTTATTCCATTGTCTTCAGTCCTTTTGAGTTGTTTACACAATTGCAACCCCCCTTTAAGCTTTCATTTCCTCCTCTACATTGAGGCGAGTACTACTGATAAATCTTATCAGTAGTATATGTATATAAAGAGATGTTCATCGGAATAAAAATCAACAAATATCAATGAGATACATTTAATGTCAGAGATAGTAAGTGATACAGTGTTGTGGAGAGATATATTATTATGATTATTATTATATCCTTTAATTCCTACAGGAACATAGGGCTTCAGCCGTGCGTCTCCATTGAGTTCGGTTCTCTGCTAGAGTCTTCACCTGGCTCCATTTCTGCCCACATGGTTTCATCTCCTCTTCACATGACCTCCTCCAAGTCACCCTCGCACTGACGACCGACTCGCCACTTCCCTTTCGGGTTCCACTCGAGCAATGGCTTGTCTAGTAATGTCACTTGATGGTTTCCACAGAGTATGGCCAATCCACCGCCATTTCTTCCTGCATATTTGTTTCACAATCGGTTCCTCCTGGGTTGGTTCGCTCCCAGATATCTCTATTGCTGATATTTTCTGGCCGGCCATCTGATTTTGAGTATTGAGCGAAGACAACTGTAAATGAAGGTCTGTAGTTTGTTTGAGATGCTTCTTATGACGCACCAAGTCTCTGATCCGTATAGTAGCACTGACTTCACATTGGAGTTGAAAATCCGGATCTTATTTTCGATGCTGAGTGCTGTTGACCTCCACACAGACTTGAGAGTAATGAAAGCTTGTCTTGCTTTCCCGATCCTCACTGCTTTGATATCCTCGTCAGTTCCGTCTGCCTGTAGTTGAAACGATGCTTCCCAGTAGGTAGGTAAAAGAGGTTGTTTCTTTCAGGTTCCTCCCATTTATGCTGATTGTTGTCTGTTGTTGTTGCTGTTGGTGGTGTTGCCCGGGAATCTTCATCACCTACCTCTGTTTAATCTATGTTCACCTGAAGTCCTATCTTTGATGCTTCTTCTGCCAACTTGTTGCTTTTCACTTGCATATCCTCCAGTTTGTGGGAAATCAGACATATGCCATCGGCGAAGTCCAGATCCTCCAAGTTTTTTGTGTGAGTCCATTTTATGGGTGACGTGAAAGGAAAGCTAAAAATAGTACCTATATAAGTGTAAAACTTGGGCACTGTGGTGGTAGAGTATAACTCCATTATGGATAAGATTTTATTTTGATAAATCACACAGTGTGTTATACAGTAATATTAACTGATGACCACGTTTCGAGCACAAACTATTGCCACTCATAATCATATCAAGTTACTCACACAACTTTTTTCCTTCATTTATATACATGTGTGGAATCGATTAGATATTGGAATAAAATTCAATATGAGATAATGTACATTCAGAAATAATGATAATAATATGAGTGTTATCAATCAAATACAATCTGCCCTTAGCTAAATTCTTATGTTCTGATAATCTGACTACCCCGATCTACTAGTTCGACCTATGTAGTTGATTTAACTCACAGTCATTGCAAGGTATTTTGTAAATTATATTATGTTATTTCATTGGATCAACATGGTCCTTAAACTACAGAGTTTGTCATACCTGAGTGAGTTTGTAGGTTTGAACGCCACCACCCTAATTCCTGCTTTATTAAGAATCCTACGTCTCAGGGTCTCAGATGTCCCCTTTTTATATGGTATTACAGTGGATGACTTATATTCTCTCTTATTTATGTTATCATTACTTGTGGAACTGGTATAACACACTGTATAACACACTGTGTGATTTATCAAAATGAAATCTTATCCATAATGGAGTTAAAAATAGTACCGCATGGAAGATCTTTGCAACAGCAAATGGTGCGTTGTAGATAAGGTGTACATAATTAAGCTAGATATAGAGATACAAAATTGCAAATAAACATTTCCTTTATCAAGTCTTTCGTCCTCTACCATTTCAAGGTAATCTCCCGCCAGTCACTGTCTTTTCGCATTCACAAGTTTCACTTGACGGCCTGCCTTAGCGTGTGATGTCATTCGATGATCTTCTCCGCGTATCGTATATATCCAATCAACCTGCATCACTTTCTGAATATTTGTCAAACGATAGATTATTGGTTGGTTTGTTGTCAGAGTTTCTTTTTACTATAATCCTTTCCACTTATACATATGATCTTCAGGATGGAGCGAAGACAACTCTGTCGATGGAAGTCTGCTACAGTTGTCTGTTATAAGTGCTTTTCATACTGTACAGTCTTTGAACTATGTGAAAGTTACTGATTTGATAGTTGTGTTGAGAATCCGAATCTTGTTTTCTTTCGTAATGCTAACTGCAGCATATTTTCACATGGTCTGTTTTGCTTATTGATATAAGAATAAAACTTGGGCACTGTGGTGGTAGAGTATAACTCCATTATGGATAAGATTTTATTTTGATAAATCACAGTGTTGTACGGTACAGTAATATTAACTGATGACCACTTTTCGAGCACAAATTATTACTGCTCATAATCATATCAAGTTACTCACACAACTTTTTTTCCTTCATTTATATACATGAGTGAATAAAAAACCAATATAGGATAAAGTGCATTCAGAAATAATAATATGAGTGTTATTGATCAATTACAATCAGATGGGAAATCAGACGAGTGTTTTTATAGTCAGCACGTTGTGATGTGCTTGAATTGAAATAGAATTTTAAGATTATTTATTATCCTCCTCTGATTTGACTGACTGGTAATAATAATATCTTCCATACTGCGGGTATATGCATTGCGTTTTTGTGTGTTGGGTGTAGACTCAATGAACCAGGCGGGATTCAGTAATCAATCTTTTTCTCCACCTACCTAGATTACTTTTTAGAATTCTAACTTTCTCCCACCATATTGTGTGGTTGTGTGTTAATGCATGCATTGCAATTGCCGAGCTTTTTTCTAAATTACTTATCTTCTCTGGGTCAACCATTCTTACCTTAGCTAAATTCTTATGTTCTGACAATCTGACTATTCCTGATCTACTAGTTTGATCTATGTAGTTGACGCAACTCACAGTCATTGCAGGGTATTTTGTAAATTATATTATTTTGTCTAATTGGATCCACCGGGTCTTTCAGCCTACAGAGCTTGTCCCTGAGTGAGTTTGCAGGTTTAAATGCAACTGTAATTCCTGCTTTATTAAGAATCCTATGTAGGGTTTCAGATGTCCCCTCCTTATATGGTATAACAGTAGATGCCTTATATATTCTCTCTTATTTTTGTTATCATTACTGGTTTCACAATTATTTTTATTTTGCTTTTGGCCTTTTTCGACCTTCCTATTAAATTTTATAGGGATAGTTGTTTAACACCAACGCTTCTTCTTCTTCTATCTGTCTTATTTCATCATTTAGGTCTTTTTTTGTTGTACTACTTAGTGCTACTGCTCGGTTTGTTTGTTTTCTGTTTTGCTTTTCTGGTTCTGGTTTTAACATCATTTTCCACTCCACCTTTAGTTGGAACAATGCTGCCTAGGTGACTGACTTTAAATTTCTCCCGTTGATAGTGATTAAGGCTTCTTTGTTCTGTGTTGAAGTTCTACAATGAACTTGAAATTCCTACATCGAGCTATAACCAAAAAGTAGGCGTAACAGAGTGGAAAAACTTTCTGTCCGATGACTCATTTTGCCAATCATTTACTGATGATGTGAGGAAATATACAAGCGGGTATACAAAAGGCAAGTGGTTATTACGTAATGAGCGTAAGAAAAATGCACCAATCAATCTAAATGTATAAAAATGGACAAAAAAAGAGTAGAAAAACGGTTAGGTTTTTAAATAAATGTGATTCACTGACCTAAGCACTTGACTTTCAACTGTTGGGTCACGAGTTCGAGTCCCGCTCACCACCTACCTATACTGGTGATAGTCACATTATCAATCCTCACATAATTAGTGTGTAACTCGTAGACCGTGGTGCATAAAAAAGGTCTGATCCAGGTTACTGAGTTTGAACAAGCTAGCTAGCAAATGCAGAGGTCTGGTTTAAGATCCTCAATAGCCAGTGATTCCTCTTCGTGGATCATTGTGAAGCATTCATACAGGGGTGCCGGATGTCTAACGTTGACAAGATGCTTAAGGATAGAACTATTGATATTCGTCTTTTATCCTCTGGTTAAACAGGTTGAAAAGTAGATATTATATAATTGGGGGTAAACGGCCACAGGAAGCCTTACCCGAACTAGGTTTCGTGCTAGTTGGCACTCAACAGGCAGTCAGCAAGGCGTATCTAACACCTTGAAGGAACTCATGTCCCTTCTGAGATTGGAACCCTTACCAAACACAGGACTAGACACATTACACTAGTTACTAACTAGTGTCCAATACAGTCCTGCAGGAGGTCAATCTCAAGACGACCGAATTGCTCAGTGGTAATGTCTCTGACTGCAGCACTCAATGGGTGACGCATCATCTAATTTCAGAAGGGACATGAGTTCTTTCGAGGTTGCAGATATACCTTGCTGACTGACTGTTGAGTGCCAACTAGTACGAAACCTAAGTTGGGTAAGGCTTCCTGTGGCCGATCACCTCCAACCATCTAACAACAATAATTCATGGTGCACCGTGATGGCGAGATGCTTAGAATGGCATGGCCATATTGCAAGCTTGAC